GTCCCCACTAATGACTCCCCATTGGTATAAGAAATATCATGCAGCAAACATACTGTCCACATACTCTGGTAAAAATATCGCAACCATATGCTACCCCACGAGGTTTACCTGCAAACTCTGAAACCAGAAGCTCGTTATCTCCTTTGCTTCTCACAGGAAACGGGAAAAGCGCAACTCTTGTCATTGAGAGTGACATCTCAACTACCGGCCGACTGATCAACTTAGACCACAATCCTCCATAAAGCCTCGTCTCTAATCATCCATGAGTCTTGTGACTCCAACTAGCGTCTGACCAGTAAAATCTCTCGAAACTTAACTAAGTCCCCTCTCAAGGTATGCTCCTTTGAAGCTTGTTCGACATGGCCCTCTGGCCCCACATTCTATCATATTAGTTCTCAGTCTCAACCGTCACAACGGGACAACTGGTAAAGTTGGAAGCACTATCTGTTACGAATCAAGGTACTCGAACCGTGTTATCTCTTCTCAATCTGCTACGCATCATGGTACTCGAACCATGTGAACCCCTCTCAATCTACTACGAATCATGGTACTCGAACCGTGTTATCTCCTTTCAATCTGCTATGAGTCATGGTACCCGAACCATGTTATCTCCCTTCATTATGCTACTTAGAACCCCTAGAATTTTCCGTGATTAGAGTTTGGGTCCTCTTCTTTCAGTAGTACGGGCCCATATTACTTGCCACATCTACCCATACTTTCCTCACAGATCATCCTATATTTCATAAGTAGCTGCTCAACCTCTTCGATCGCCAATATCATTACATATGTTCGCCCTCCAGCGAGTACTCTCCCTTATCAGCATATTCATCTGACTAAGGTCACTTCCTAGGCTCTTCCTAGATTCTCACACTTCTTTTCCATTAGCTGCTGAAGAATTCCTTATGATGCCAACCATCTACCTCCTAAATATTGTCATATTCACTTAGTAGTTGACTCCTGTCATCAAGAGTTCCACAAAGCACAAAGCAAGCAACATTCGGGCATCTAATAATCCTCCACCAACACATAACTCTACTTGAGCATGCAACTCCACTTGCTTTACTCACAACTCAAAAAGCATCACCGAACTTAGGCTATCTTACCTCTTGTGGTATCTAACTACTCTTCTCAGTAGACTCCTCAAATGATCATCTAGGTATCTCTCCTAGATTATCCCTAAACTTAGAACTCTCTTTAAGTGATTCCTACTAGATACTCTTACTTAGCACATACTCAAGGCACATAATCGATATCAACTACTCCTAGGCTAAAGCAACACAAATTAGGCTATTCTAGCCCTAAGTATGAATTACTAGTCTATCTTTTAGCATGCACCACTAATATCTCAAAACACAAATATGTAAGGGTATTTGGGGAAATCACCATTCGAGCTCTAGCTGATGGTACACACTACTCCAACTCGTTTTCTCTTAAAAATCTTTCTCATTTTAGAAAAATCATTTCCTTTGAAATTTTTTCTCAAATCCTCAGTTTGAGTTTAGACATACCCGAAGGTACACCTTAATCCCTCAAACTAAGGCCCGATGTAGCGGGTTGGGCCCAATGTATGTTGTTATGTGCTTATGTGAATAGTATGTGGTAGCTTGGGGAGACTCATTAAGCTTCAAACTTACAGTTTTCAGTTTTGGTTTCAGGTACTTCCGCTAGCAAGGGGAAGAGCTTGGGATGACTGCATGGCACACACCACAACTTTTAGCCTAGGATGATTTACTCTGATGATTGACATATGATTTTGATATACTGACAATTGTTATCACATTTACGAGATACATGTTTTATGATTTTGGATATGATGAGTTATTATTTATGGTTTATTTAATAATTTTAAATTGATTTTTTGGACCATATTTTTGGTACGTTTTAGCAAAATTCTAAAAAAATAACCACAATTATATTTAACTTGTGTGAGGTCAAGTAAAATTTTCAAGTGGTTTGAAAGTCCAAAACTTGGTTTTGTAAATTCATGCTTATGTACAAAGAAAAAAAATCCAATATCATATCAAATAGTATCAAAATTTTATGAAAAATTAACAGAGTCTCTATTTGTGATGTATATCATTTACTTAAATTGTCTGAATTATTTCCTTTCCGAAGCATTTTTGGAAAATATCACTCTATTTGTCACTATTAAATACAAAAATTAAAGAAAATTCTTTCTTATCTAAAAATTTACAGATTATGTCACATACCTATGAGAAAACTTTTATTTTACTTGTTTTCTGTTTAGTGGAAGTATATAGTCCCAACAAGTTATGACAAAACTTGTTTATTTGACTATTTTTGGGAAAAATATGGTTGATAGCTTGATAATTTTATAAAGACTTCCAAAGACCAATATATCTAGCTATTTCACTCCACTGATCACACGATGGTAGAAAGTGATAATAATTTTCCTAACATTTTTTAGTGAGAAGATAGTCTCTTGAACATGCATGACAAAACTCTCACCATATAAAATAGAGTTGTTCGTGCAACTGATTTTCGAGTGTTGTTTGGGGTCAAAAACTCGTTAGTTTTTATTGAGACTACTTGGGTCTGAATACTATAGAAAGATCAAAAACTTTTGTAAAGAAATAAATGAGTTATGGTCTTTTGAAGTCGTGAGTAGAAATCTGACATGTTACATCTACTCATACTTCCTGAGGAAAAAGTGGTTTTAAATCATAAAATACATACAAACATTAAAGTATAAAATCTTGGTTCTCAAGAACCCTAGAAGTGGGTTTTTGTGTTATTATCTTTATAACCGATTTTTGTTATTGAATCATGAGTATGCAAAAATCTTTTAACACATTGATGATGTTGGAATACATCCATGATGTGTTAAAAATGGTTCTTGACTAAACACAGAAAACTATGAAAAAAAAAAAAAGAAGAAAACTCGATTTTTGAACTTTGAAAGCACATACAAACTTTCCTTTGATCTTAGCATATGTTTGTTCCCATATTTTTGATACATAAGATGTGTTTTAATGGAAATTTACAAACATAAAGATGTATGTAGAGATTCAACCCATAGAAGAGGAATAGAACCCGAGATTAAGAAGAAAGCACGATAAAACTTGTATGAAAATGAAGAAGATAATGGAGAAAGTGAACCTTACATGGACTTAATTTTTAGAAATGTACGAACACTCTTCAAGCCACAATTTCATGGGTATAAGGGATGCTCATGATTGATTGTGGGAGGGTTTTGAGAGAGATTTTAGGGTAAGAAACTTTGAGTGTAAGAAAGAATGGGTGTGGAGGTGGTGGAAATGGGTAAATGAATGGAGAGAGAGAGAGAGAGAGAGAGAGAGAGAGAGTGTGTGTGTGTGTGTGTGTGTAAGAGAGAATCTTTTATAACAAGAAAGGAGGAGCTTTGATAAATTTTATCATAGAGATATTTATTGTATGCATTTTGTTCATTGAAGTTGTTACATAAGTTAGCCAGAGAAAATGAAGGGATTTAAGAGGATGAGGAGAGGGCCGAGGGAGGGGCATCTAGTAAGAAGGGGTGTGGTAGATGTGAATCATTTTTTTTCATTGTTAAATAATATACAACTATATGAAAAATAACAAAATAAATAAAGAATCATAAATTGATCATCTCATAAGTACTTATATGTTATTTATTAATGAAGTTAGCCCAAAAAATAAAATATGCATTCATTTGAAACCTTGACCACCAATAATATATATTTTTTTATATCAGGCAACATGGATCATAAAATTTTATCGTTAAAATAAAGATTTTTATATTCAAATATTAATGTGTAATAAAAGAATTTATTAAAATATCTTTTGTTTAAAAGCAACAAATTAAATGAAGGATTTTTATAGAAACTTCTAGATATATTAGGATAAACTAGTTAAATTTATTAAAAAAAAGATTGAACTTTTTTAACCATTAGGCTAAACGGTGTGGATACCTTTTTACCGACGGTAGTCCAACGTGGACACCTTTGTCGTCGTTAAACATTGTGTCGTACCCTCCAATTTACGGCCGCTAAGTTACCAATGGTGGGTTTCCACCGATGGTAAATTTGAATAAATTGAATGTTGGAATGGAGAAACGACCGTTGGCAAACAACTTTATTACCGTTGTTTTTTATTTTTATTTTTTTAATCAACAAATTTGCCACTACATATATTAATTTTATCACTCATTGAAAACACACATATATTTCAAAACACAAAGATAACCAAAATGTCTTCAAAAACCCCAAACTCTTCCATTCCAAATGCTTTAAACCAAAATGTTTTCAACCAATTTGCACTTTTCGGTTACAATCTGACATCACTACCACCTTACCAGACACAAATCGATCCATCTCAAAACCAAGCGTTTGTAGGCGGTATTCTAGGCTATTATTCATAATTCCAAATGTCACAACAATTTCAATTCCAATCCCCATCGCCCCGAACAACATCCCAACGTTAATCACAAATCTAATTCAAATTTAAATCTAAACCGCCTTTCGCACCCACAACTGAAACTCTTTCTGATTCCGAGCCCAAAGAACAACCTCAACAAAAAAAGGGGTAGGCTGATCCGAGAAGATGGAGTAAAAAAGAAGAGACAGAATAAGAAAGGGCATGCATCGACATATCAGAAGATAGCAACACAGGAAATGGCCAATCGCGTGATCAATTTTGGCTACATGTTACAGAGCGGTTTTGTAAGGGTATGCGTTAAGAACCAGATAATTGGACATCCGACCAATGTAACCCGAAATGGAATCTTGTTAACGCACTTGTGACACACTGGAATGAAACTTACACAAACTTCGAAAAGCAATGGGCTAGCGGCGAAATTGAAGCGAGTTTGTTAAAAAAACACACATGGCATTCCAAGATGACATGTTGAAGCCTTTGAAATTCATTCGTGTGTGGGAAGTTTTCAAAGAAACATTAGGCAGAACGAACTTGCAACATATGAAGACACTGCTAACCCACCAAAAAGAAGTCGAACATCTTCATATACGAGCTCATAACAAATGTCATCGGATGGTCACATTGGCGTTGATCTTAATGATGATAATGACGGCATCGAAGAAATACGTCCGCCTCCTCGTCTCGTGGGAAGGGACAATGCAAAAGCTCAAGGAAAAAGAAAAGGAAAAGCGACATCGTCAAATTCTTCAATCGGAACAGAGCGCTCAACTATGGCAGAGAAAATGACGGCGGAGGAAATGGTGGCACAGATGGCACAACTGGCTAAAACCATCCGACTCACATATGTAGATGTAAGATGTGAGGCACCTTGACCTCAAGATCAGGAGACGGCTAAATTGGTGAAGACTTCGATTCGTGAAAAATATAAACTCAAACGCAATTGAAATTTGGATGTTATGTTTTTTTTTCCTAGTTTTTATTAATTTTTCACTTCTTTTTTTGATTTTTTTTTATTTTTAATGTAGTTTTTTGTTTCATGTTATTTTTTATTTTGAGGATTTCTAAAATGTAATTTTTTATTTTATGTTGTTTTAGAGTTTATTATGGTATTTATTAAAAATTGAAATTAATATATATATATATATATATATATATATATATATATATATATATATATATATATATATATATATATATATATATATATATATAGGTAAAACCATTACCAACCGTAGATCGTAAGTAAAATATGTAAAAACTGAAAAAAAAACTGATGTGAGGTTTAGGTGGCATCATTTTATCATTCACAAAATATACACCACACTCTTTAGCCTTAAATCCAAATTTTGTTTATAAAACAGCACGTAATACCTTAGTCTAAATCTACACATTTTAAATAATATCCAATTAGTTGTAAAAATTAATGAAAATAATAAACTGTAGAGTTTAAATAATATCATAACTTTCCATTAGAAGATTGTCTTATTAAAGATTATTTACTTCATACTGTTCACGTCTCCTATAGCACACTACTATAACCAGCTCTAGGTAAGTGGTGAACTTTTTACATTGAGTATTCACATGATAGAGCTTTTGCACTACAATCAAGATGTTTTAAAAAAAGTTATGTAACAATTATTGTTTATAAGCAAATAGCTCACACATAAAAAGACTAGGCCATCCTTTACCTACCTTACTTAATGTTTAATAATGTAAAAAAGAACTTTTAATTTGCTTTAATGCACAAATTAGGAAAGAAATGGCCAAAGTGAGCAGGCCACAAAGGAGACCTTAAAGAATCAACTTTACTCTAATGTCACATTGTCCCTAGGCCACCAAAATGATAAATCACCTTTTCAGGTGAATATTAATCATTTCATATGAAGTGGTAATCCGCAATATAAACTCTAAGCTCTTTATTAGTTCCAAGAGATACTGAGAAAAGCTCAAGGAAAATGACAGGAGCTGGTTTTTCATGTGGAGCATGCAAGTTCTTGAGAAGAAGGTGTACAAATGAATGTGTTTTTACTCCTTATTTTTGTTACAGCGAAGGAGCTGATCACTTTGCAGCCGTTCACAAGATTTTTGGTGCAAGCAATGCCTCCAAGCTATTGATGAAACTCCCACTGCAAGATAGAGGTGAAGCTGCTATCAGTTTATCCTATGAAGCTTTGGCTCGATTGCAGGATCCTGTATATGGTTGTGTAGCTCAAATCTTTGCTCTTGAGCAACAGGTAGCTGGTTTACAAGAAGAGATAGATCAGCTTTTGAATTACATGACTTATGTATCTTCTGAGTTTAATGGTACGAGCGTCAGTGATCATCTAAACCAACAGACAACGCCGTTGTTTGCTGCACCGCAAGTTTCATCTACATCCTTGGCTATTTTGGAGGGTCAAAATTCTCTTTCTCACAGCCTTCTCGACCAGCCACTCATGGAAAGCTTTTAATTTCATGGTGAACTTATTACTTAAGAGGCACTAGTTTATTTGATCCATTTGTAAATACCAGAAGTATGTTAGGCTTATCCTTAAGCGTATGCAAATAACTTGTAAAATACCTTCGGTAAGCATTATTATAATATTGAAAATTGTGATTACAAAATACTCGTGGTTCATAAGTTATTATTATAATTTTTTATTAGGACAAATTTTAAGAAAGTTTCTAAATTTATAAAAAGTTGTTTGGTTTTTATCAATTAAGTAATTATTTTTACAATTTTGTTCCAATATCAACCAGTTGTCAAGTTAACATATAATTTTGTTACAATATCAACCAATTGTCAAGTTACTAGCAGGTTACCAGATAAAGAACATAAAAATATTATGATGTTGAAGCGATGTGAGATTTTATGGCAAGCTTGAGTTTTAAATATAGGGTTAGTATCGACCCGAATTCCACATTTCTCCTTCTCTTCTCCTGGTATTCGCATAATAGTATTTACTCATAAATGACGTCAAAATGTTGATCTAGTGGTTCAAACTCACTTAAAAATCAACAAAGGGCGTAGTCACCCTTCCATATATGATATTGTGGTTAGAAACTTGATTTGTGCAACAAGAAAATGAAGACCCTTACAAGGTCGATGTAGTTGTTGAAACTCACTATGCACCTTTTGGATCGACCTTGTAGGGGTTTTCATTTATTTGTACAAATTAAGTTTTTAAATCACAATTGCATCTCCTAAAATGATGAATATGCTATTTTCATTGATTTTTAAGTTAGTCAGAACCACTAGATCGACTTTTAGATTCTATTTGTGAATAAATACTTTGATGAGAAGAGTAGAAGAGAAAAAGATACATAATATTGGGCTCAATGTAAACCCTATATTTGAAAGTCAATCCTATCACTAAGATCCGATCGTGGCTTCCACATCACAATATTACCAAATCATTTATTTGATAAGTTGCTAGATCGACACTAACCGGTCAACTGGTTGAGATTGCAACAAAACTGTATCAAAAATAAAACATAGTGTCAAAATCGTAATTTTGAGAAATTTAGCGACTTTAATGCAGTTTGAGAAAAATGGTTACTAGGAAAATAGGAAGAACATACCATTTTATTGATATTGCAACAAAATTGTAAATATAGTGATTTAATTTAGAAAAAAAAATACAATGTCATAATCTAAAATTTCGGTTAACTTAGTGATTTTATTGCAACTTGACCTTATTATTATCAAAAATATTTTTCCTTAGTTTGAGTAATGAAATAAAATTTTATTTGAATTAAATTGGGTATCTGACAAGAAGCTACAAGAAAAAAGTTTCATGACACTCAATATAGATATAATTTTTGGAATGTTTTCATTTATCGCTTCCTTCCTGTTTTGCTTCCCTTGATTATAACTTAAATTGTTGTATTAACTTATCTGTTGTCGTGATTACATTATCTAATCACTATCTCTTATTTTTCTTCCTGTTTTATATATTTCCTTGTAATCTTGCATACCAATATAGGTTATTAAAAAGCATTTTCCTAACCTAATTTTTTCATGTTATATGAGCGGGTGAACTAATCATAACCAATAACAAAGCATTTCAAGGATTTAAAGATAAGGGGGCTTATTTCTAATTTTTTTTTAAAAATATATTCGAATAACCTAATCGAGTCTAAAATTGAAAGAGATACTGATAATGAAAAAAAAATCGTCTAAATACGAACTATATCAATCTTTGCAAGAACCATTCTTCAAAAGTTTTCAAGCGAACATAAGCACCTATTCTCATACATTAACCTATTATTATTAAAAGAACGACTTAGAAAATACATACATATGATATTATTTTAAATTTAGAATAATACAATTAAAAATTTTGTAAAAGTATAAGTAATAGTACCTTTCTCACTTTAAGTTGTGTTTGTCTTTGCTTCATTGAAGAAAAAATCATTTATAAGTTTATCTGTCGAAAATTTATCAGTAATCTCTCTCTCAATGTTAATAAGCATAAGACTTTTAAGAAAATCGTCATTCATGGTATTCCGAAGTCGTGTTTTCATGATTTTCATTGCTGAGAATGTTCTTTCAGATATCGCAGTAGAAACGGGAAGCGTCTATATAATGCGAATCAATCTGTCAAACAAAGGATAAGTACCAGCCTTTCCAGTTTCATGTAGACCCCTGCACAACTTAGAAAGTGTAGAAGAATTTTTCAATTGTGGGCAATTACGCACATCTAACTCGTAATGTCGTAACTCAAGTTTTAACAAATGAATTTATTGCTCTGTAAAGTCCAAAGGATAAAAAGTTTTTGCCAATTTACATATATCTTCAACATTCAAGGACTTTTTTTGGATCTAGTGCAACACTGAGACGGAGAAGCATTTTTACAGACTCATTAAATCTAGAATTCAACTCTTGTAACTGGCTGTCAATAGCAACAATTTACAATTCAACTCAGTAGTGATGCTCTGCAGTGATATTGTCTTTATCATGCCGTGTCCGAATTACATATTTGTAAGTCTCATTCATATCAGGGACCAAAATGTCACTTATTTTACAAAAACAAGTCACTTTATCCAAAAGTGATTGCCAACCTTCATCTCTCAGTTTTGAAGCAATATTTTATTGTGGAAACCAAGGCCAATGCATTAATAATATCTATAGATTTTTTTTATAAAGATTGGCGAAGCTTGTCAGTTATCCCTATTATATCTTTCATCATATGCAAAACAATGACAAAATCAAATGACATTGCATGTTTAAGTGCAAATATTGAGAAGATGTAGAATATTTTGTAGCAATGTCAGTCAACACTACACAAGATGGACAAAAAAGTCTCATCAAACTACATATTGATTAGAAATGAGAACTCCACCTGGTATCTCCAAGTCTTTGTAGTGTTTGTATTTGTTTTTTCCTTTTCCACTCTCAATCTCATCAACCTCAATTAAATGAGAAATTTCAGCAATCTGAGCATCTTGCAATTGATCATGACGCTTGGAAGAAGAAGTTATGACATTAACTAGAGCCAATCGCAATTGATGAGCAAAACAATGTATGTACTAAGCATAAGGGCGTTCCTTTAATAATAAAGCTTGCAACCCATTCCATTCTCCATGCATGTTACTAGCTCCATCATATCCTTGACCCCGAATATCCTGGACACTAAGTTTATGATAAGACAATGAACACATTATCTCATTTTTCAAGGTCGATGAAGTTGTATCTTTGACATGAATCAAATCCAAAAATCTTTCTTTGACATGTCCATCTCGGTCAACAAATCTCACAACAATAGCCATTTGTTCTTTCTTAGATTCATCCAGAGACTCGTCAGCTATCAAACAAAATTTTGCAGTCCCGATTTCATCATGAATTGCTTTTTGCACATTTGTAACTAAAACACGCAATATTTCTTTTTGGATATCCGGTGATCTGTACTTTGCATTTTCAGGAGCCTTTTCTAATACATCATCATCAATAGTCTTGTTATAAGAAGCAAGCAACTTTATAAGTTCAACGAAATTCCCTTGATTTCTTGAGTCAGCTCCCTCATCATGACTTCTTAAAGCACATGCTTGAAATGTAAGTCATTTAATAGCCTCAATAGAAACTTTAACGTGTAATCTATTATGCATAACTTGTTAATTCGTTTGTATCTCTATCACATTTTCTATGTGACACAACTTGTTTTTGAAATCTTCATAGCATCTGACAGAAAAATTATGTGCTGAGGCCGGGGTCTTACCTTTATGGACGATGAAAGCACAATCTTTGCCACAATTCAATTTTTTCCATTTATTAAACCCTACGACTGTAAATATATCTGACCTGACTCGTCCAATAGGTTTCCTATTGATAAGAAAACAAGGGAAACAAAATGCAACATCCTTTTTCTTAGAATATTCCAACCACCAAATTTTTTTAAACCAAACTTGTTGAAAACTACACACAAAACCATTTGGACCACTAGGACATGAAGGATACCTTGATTTTTGAATTTGGATGGTCCAAGTTTAATATATAATCTTCTAATCTCATCACGTTGGTGACTTTGGATAGCTTAAGATCAAAGGTCGTTCTCCAGGATCACGAATCAAAGAATCTAAGTTTACCTCTCTTGAATTTGAAACATCATTTTTCTCAAGTACAACATTAACTCGCTCTTCCAAATTACTAGTTCTTTCAGGTTGTGGGTCATTAACTTCATTTTTTCGTTTGAAAAAAGAATCAATTGTTCTTTTTTTGCTCATGGTTTACCCTATAATTATAAAAATTAACAAGCCAATTAACCAATCATAATATTATCATTACTTACAAAAAAAATACTATTCAAAATAAATATTAGCCACAACTTACAAATGATAGATATAACTATTTTGAATCATAGTTAAGATGGAAATCGAAAAACATAAAACAACTAATTACCTTAAGAGTGCCAATGAATTAAATTGTAATTGATGCTCTCCCTTGAAGTAACTATCGAATAATTAAACTGTAATTGATATTCTCCCTTTGAAGTAATTGCCGGCAGCGATGAATTCTAAATTGACGTCTCCTAAATTGTGGTAAGAGATGTATTTTGTATTTTTTTTTAAATTAAGTGGGCTATAGGAGGGGCATGGGATTAAATTGAATTTTATTTTGGGCTTAAATAATATATATATATATATATATATATATATATATATATATATATATATATATATATATATATATATATATATATATATATTAGTATATAATGGAAGTAAATGAAGTTTTTTTTTTTTTTTTTTGGGGGGGGGGGGTGTTGCCTCCGCCCTTGAAGCATTTGACCATGGTTCTAGTACTATTTCCATCCTTCAGACTATAGATGCACGTGAATGAAATGTTGAGTGAAAACAACTATCTTGATTATGTTCAAGAAATGGAGAATTTTCTATTCGTAAAAAATAAAATATGTATTGTTGACGGAACTCCTAAAAAATGGGAGAAAACCCATGCTAATCACATGACATG